ATTGTTAGGAATATTTTGTGGTGTCCAATCTAATTAAATATCTTTGTATTTGTGTAGTTATTACTTAAACGTGTAATACATGCCACAAATGTGTATCAGCCCGTTAGCTTCCTTGTAACCCGTAAGTTAGTCAATTTCTCCTATAAAAGAAGGCTAACTTACGGGAACCCAAAATGAATCGAGGCTTTAGAGAATAGAGACGCAGAGATAGAGAGATGAGGGTTTGTCGCTGCTCTCCTTCTCCAGGGAGAGCAGCGGCCAGTTTACACGGTTTACCAAAAGCGTTGCTTATCTCCATATCTTTCTATCTGCTTCTTTATACCTGTTATGATTGTTCGATTGTTAAGTTGTGGGTTTATCAATTGGTATCAGAGCCGAGACGTGAAACAGGTTGAATCTATCTGCGATTTTTTTGGATCTAACGAAGAACTGCTATGCTTTTCTTCTCTTTTTCTTCAATATAGAGTTTTGTTCCTGTTATCTTGTTTGTGAACGAAAATCTGTAAAAACTATATTGTTGGAATCGCCTTTCAAAACCGATTCTACAGCATATCCTGTTTTTCGATTTCTGCAAATTTTAAATTTTGAAGAACTCTACATGAAATGTAGAGTTTATGCTTTTACACTGCTGCAGAAATGTTTTTGACTTGAAACAGATACAGGAGGAATCTCGACCTTCAGGTCTATTCAGAAAAGTTTTCAGATTCTCAAAATTCGAAGTTTTCATTTTGCAGGAACTCTACATTTTGGGTTTTGAATTCCTAAACTCGACATTTTTTAAAACTCGAGAGTTTTAAACTCGAGAGTTTTAAGCTCGAGAGTTTTAAAACTCGAGTTTTAAAATTGAGAGTTTTGGAATTGTGAGTTGGAATTTCGAGTTTTAGGAACTCGATGTTTAGGATTTCGACATTCTCAAAATTTCAGAATTTTTGGAATTTCTCGATGTTTTAAATCTTTCAAAATTTGCAGTTTCTTGGAACTCATAATTCAAATGATTCCCTATTTATCAAAGTTTTTAGAAGTTTTCGATGTTCTGATGTTTTTCAAAAAACAAGTTTTCGATATTATGAAGTTTTCGAAACTCCAAAGTTTTCGATGTTCCAAACATTTTGAAATTCTGAAGATTTCGTTATTCCGAGATTTGTTTTGCAGATGGATTTCGCCATTACTCTTCAAGGCAAACTCGAAATTAAAATCTCGAGATTAGGATTTCGAGTTTTTGCTTTAGAATTTTGTTTAATTTCACCTGCTCTCGAAATTCAACATCGAGAACCTCAACCTCGAAGAATTTCCTCAAAAACTCAAAATTCGAGATTTTCTGCGACACCGCACTGTTTTGACCATAACTTTTGACTCGGTGATCCGATTTTAGCAAACTTTTTTTGTTGCAAAACTAACGAAAAGATCTACATTTATTCTCGGGATATGCCCCAGAACCCATTCTCACGCGCCCTCACGCGCAGTCCTTGAGGGTTAAAATGTTAGTTTTCTGACAAACTTTGTAAATCACCGATGTCCAGGTCAAAACTTAGGCAAATCTGTTCAAATTCTTCCAAAGTCAAACCTAAGGTCTAAGCTCCACTGTAGAGGTCCAAAAATCGTAGATAATTCAATCAACCTCGCGTCAACGGTCATCTTACAACAATCAACAATCAACCACTGAAGTCTCTCCTAACTCATCAACATTGTGTGATCCTCAAACATGCTGAAATTCCAAATGATGAGATTAGGGAAACCGTCATGTGTGGTACCTGTTCAGATTGCTGCACACACATGGCGGGTATGATGAGCTGTGAGCAATCAACCCTTGCACATTCTGAGGGGGGGTTTCAGTTTTCTCCTCCTGGCACCTTACACCGACAAAATAAGGAATCTCTCAACGGATGGAACAATTTAGGGGGAGTGTTCAATGTTATCCTCCCCGGTGTCTAACGATGACAAAGCATATCGAATGCTTCAGTTGAGTATTCGGTAGCATAAGGGGAAATTCAAATTCAAGTGAAGCTAACTTATGAGATTCTTTACTGTAAAAAACGTTTATCAGATTTTTCAAGTAGATACATTTTATTGCAAAGAATCACTATCACCGTTTTCTTCAAAGTGAATATTAATGTTTTCATTTCAACTAATCATTCCCAAATTAGATCGACAATCCATTTGATATCATCCAAACTTGGCTGAACCTAGATGAGATTTAGCAGAAGCGATTCATTTTTGTAAATAAGTTTCATTTTAATAATATTATTGAAACAACCTCTTTTTTTTATGTACATTGCAAATTAAATTTGTTTTGCCGTTATGGTACGGTTTTATATTTTAATCAAATAACAATATACTTTAATAAAAACAAAAGACCAAATTTTAATTGAGTCAAAATAAACTAAACTAATCAAATTGCGATTCCATGTTTTTTAAAAGGAAAAATGGAATGGGACATTTGGATGTTCTTTTTATTGGACTAACTATTTTTTATAATCATCAGATCAGATTCATTCTGGTCTGGGCTAAGATCAATCGAATTAAAAATATGATTGATCAAACCGAGAACTTTTTTGCGGGACGGAGGGAGTAATAGTTATAGTGCAAAACATTGTCAAACAGTGTCAAAAAGTGTCGGAACAGTGTCAAAACAATAAAATTTATTCCCTGGTAAATTTATTCCCTGGTAAATTTATTTCCTTAATATGTGTGTAGGTCAAATCGAGAATTTTTTTTGCGGGACGGAGGGAGTAATAGTTATAGTATTTGATTTGTCAAAAATATATTACGTATGTGAGTTATAGAAATGAGTTTTAAATAATTGTAAGTCTAAAAGAAAATTGTAATAGTGATATTATAAAATGATTATTAGTATATTGCTTTAAAAACATGGCTGGTGTAACAATTTTTTGATGAACTAAATAATGTTGATATGTCTAAAATAAGATTTCATAAATTACTGTGGTCAAATAAAAGAAATTCTTATTGCTAAATAATTGAAAAATTATGTAAGAAATACTTACTTGTTAGTAAATAAAATTTGTGTCACACTACAATCAGTATGTTGTTTAAAATAAATCAAGTGTTGTAGTATTATAAAATAAGCACAATAAGATTGATAAGTCTAGAGTAAAAGAATAGAAATTACTTGAATAAATTTACTAATTTATTTAAAAGGGAAAACACATAATATAAAATTTGTTTTTTTAAACCAATTATTATTGAACTACGCTGTAGTTCGAAAAACGCTACGGGCCTGTTTAATAACAAAGATATTTTCCAGTTTTTCATAAAACTGGAAAACTAGAAAACAGGAAACATGAAACGTGTTTACCAAAGAAAATTGCTGGAAAACTTGAGAAAGGAAACCAGAAAAACGCGTTTACCTAACCGTTTTCCAAAATGAAAAAAATGAGACATGTCTGTCTTTTCCTTAATGATTTGGAGAAGTGACTTTTACTAGTTTTTTAAATTTGGAAAACGCAGATGCTACAAGCCTCTGCAATGAATTTGCATACTTACACCTAGTGGTGTGTCTGGTCCCGCTCCGATGTCGATTTCATTCTAGTACCTCCTACCCTACCCTACCCACCCAACCCCCACCTCGCATACCTCTTTTCCCTACAATGACCCTACCCCCACCCCCTACCACATGCCCCTACCTCGGTCCCACCCCGATCCACCCTACCCTAACCGCCACCCCTACCACCTCAACCCCGACCCACCCTACCCTACCCCCACCTCGTATATTACCCCTTACCCCAACCTTACCCCTTCCCACATGCCCCCTACCTCGGCCCCACCCTACTGGCATCCTACCCCCACCCTCGTATCGCCATCCTACCCCCACCCTACCCCTTCCCCTACCTCGTCCCCACCCTGATCCCGGCCCCACCCTACCGCCATCCTATCCCAACCCCCTGTCCTACCCCTACCTTACCCCAACCTCAACCCTACTCACTACCCCCACCCTTACCCCTAACCACAACCCTAACCCACCCACTACCCAACCCAACCCCGTACCCCTAGACCTTACCACGCCACCCCCGACCATACCCCTTACCCCACCCCACCCCACCCCCACCCACACCTTCTTACCCCGACCCCTACGAGTAGGTATGGGTGGGTATGAAGGGTTTTAGGGGAGTATGGGTAAAGTGTAAGATCGTGTCAGTCTTCTGGATGATCATAAAACTGGGTGAAAAAATTGATGAACATGTTTTCAGATTTGAAAATGGAAAACTAGAAAATAGAAACAGAAAACTGGAGATAGAAAAACTGAAAAATAAAAACAGAAAATTGGAGAACGAAAAATAGAAGTAGAAAACAGGAAAATATATCTCTCGGTAAACAGGCCCATAGGGAGAGGCCACTTTAATTGGATCGTAATAACGAAAGCCCAACAATGCAACCAAGCTGGTAGGGAGAGGCCACTTTAAAGAGTTTTACTAGGAGTACCCCAAAATGTACCCCATTTTTACCCCAACTCCTAATTTGTGGTCATAAATGGACCAATTCATTTAAGTGATGTCTCACTTAAATGAATTGCCCCATTTATGACCACGCATTAGGTGGTGGGGTAAAAATTAGGGCTGGTTCGGTATGGTATATACCGAAAATTTCACCCAATACCGTATACCGTACCGAAAATCCGGTATGGCTAATTTTTATACCGATACCGAACCGGAACCTTCGGTATACCGTGTTTCGGTATACCGAAATATCGGTTTGACAAAAGGCACATACCTTACCATACCGAAAAATCGGTATACCGAAATTTTCGGTATTACCGTACCATACCGAATGAGATACTTCATAATGAATTTCAACACAAGAGTAAGGTCACATTCATTTAAAAAGACCATAATAAGTTCTCATAATCCCATTACACAAAAACAAGTTTTCATGCACCATACATAAACAATTTTTCAGAATAACAAAAGACAAAAGTTAATGTTTAAATATCATAAACACTCATAGTCATGCACCATCATCCACTCCTTAGCCTACAAATGATGCATCTAATCTCCTCATACAAAAAACTGAGTGTACATAAGCATCTGCAACAGCTAATATGGCAAGGATCTGGTTCTCTATCAGCTTGGGTGATCCCCCTAGCTAGCCGATCAGCGGATCCTAAGAGGCATCACTGTGGAATATGCATCTGTAACAAATGTCATTTTATATTAGCAAGTAATTGTTTACTAAGCATAGTAAACAACAAATGACTAAATAGAATGTCAGGACCTGATGGCATCATTGAAACAATTGTTTATCAAACTAGACAATGCCAATATGAGTCCATACACTTAGCAGCATCAAACTCATCCGTTTCATAAGAACATAGAAAACATTGAATATTACTCTTAACCTATATGATAGTATTATATTAAAGAAAACATATTACAAAGGGGTATATAATTAGATTCATTTGAAAGTGTGTCGTTACACACTTACACACAAGAATGATTTTGGTTTATAAATGATGAAGCTCAACGCGTACTACCACCAAAACTGCAAAAAGTGACCGTGAAAGTGAATGAAAGTGTGACAGCAGACGACTTAAAAAACTATTTCAAAAACTGGAAAGAAAACTGAGTTTTGGGAAGAAGAGGCGTCTGCAGGACCTGATGCCAAGCCTTCTAAAGATGATGCTTCATCTGACCAAGTTCAGCAGGCTGCTTCAGAAGCTGCAAAGGGAAGTTCACCTCTTCCAGATAAGGGAGCTGTCGAACTGGATGCAAAAATATGAAAATAGAAAAGTAGAATCTTTTCTAATACATTGCAATGGTTTATAATCTTTTCTAATATTTATAAAAATAAGCTGCAATGGTTTATAAATACATTGCTCACCACTTCCCCTGGCAGAAAATAGAAAAGTAGAATCTTGAGTTAATATGCTCACAGATATTAATGAACAAGCAAATAAAGTCATAATCAGTAGACATTATATTATTAATGTATACTTATACATTTTTTTTAAGTTAAGAGCTCACCAATTCTAGATGGCACATAAAGATTGAGAGCAACCTTGAGTACTCTCTGCAACTATAAAACAGTAAAATAATAATCAGTAGACATTATATTATCATCAAATGATACTTCACTAAATTCAACTTAATAAGAAAAGCTCTTACTCTTTTCAATTTATTCAATTTATTTATATAAATCAAGTTCATCATCGGTTGGATCCTTATAAAAAGAGAACTCCTCCGCTCTAAGCCAATCATTTGTGCATACTAATGCTTCAACCATCTTTGGACTCAAACTGCTTCTAAAAGGATCCACGACCCTTTTACCCAGACTAAAGGCAGATTCACTAGCCACCGTTGAGCTTGGAATCGCAAAAATATCCTTGGCAATAAGAGCAAGCATTGGGTACCTAGTTTCACTCCCTTTCCACCACTCCAAAAGATTAAAAAACGTGTTAGATCTTTTATCAATGTCATCCGCTAGGTATTTATCCACCTCATTGGAAATCTTTTGTAATTTTTCTTCTTCATTTTGAGCTTCAACCTCATTAAATAGTTCATCCCAAAGACCATCTCCACTGTTTAAGGTACCACACCCATTCTCTCGCGTTCCTTGCATATTCTGCCTCTCAACATTCAAGAAGTCATGCATTCCTTTGTATTCCATCCACAAACTCACCAAATCATTCTTAATCTTATCAACCAAGCCTTGGACAATTGTAGAAGAGTCTTGGACAGTTGTAAAAGTTGTTTCAATTTTTTTAAGGCTAACTTTGATCATTTGAAACTTATTTCTTGGATCTAAGACATTACTAATAAAAATCAAATGATTCATTTTGTCCCATGTTCCCCAATACTTCTTAAATTTCAGCATCATTGCACTTGCAACCTCTTTAAGTATTGGGTCAGAATCACCATTTTTCTTTTTCTCAATCTCAATTTGAAGTGTTATCATTGACTGATAGATTAACTGGGAAGTTGGTGTTTTTGTTGCACTTAATTCTAAAGTAGCATCGTAGAATTTTTTCAGAAAGTGCACAAATGCTTTTGCACGCTCCCAATTTTCAGAACTTGGAGGTCCAACCCTGACTTTACCCTTTTCAGTTTTTTCAGTAAAAAAATTCATGAAAGGTAAAGACTCTTCACCCATCCTCTCAAACACTCTCCTAAACTTCAACGCAACTTCAAGCATCTTATAAGTTGCGTTCCACCTTGTCTTAACATCCATAGGTACTGTCGAGGTACTAGAAAAATTAGCTAGCACGGCATACTCTCTAAACTTACTCAACCTAGCCGAGGAAGAATGAATAAACACAACAGAATTCCTTATAGCTTTAATTGAATCACAAAGCTCTTTCAGGCCATCTTTAACAATTAAGTTTAGTATATGACAAGCACACCTCAAGTGTAAGTATTTTCCTTCAAACAATAATGACTTCTCACTTTTCATCCTTTTTTCAAGTAATCAATGGCAGTATCATTTGAAGATGCATTATCAACCACTATCGAAAATACTTTTTCTATCCCCCATTCTCGCATACAAACCTCAACCTTTTTTTCAATTTCTTCCCCTGCATGACTAGTGATTTTGGTGAAGTTAATTATTCGTTTATGTAACTTCCAATCGGTATCCAAAAAATGTGCAGTAACGACCATGTAATTAATATTATGTATGGATGTCCATGTATCAGTTGTGATACTTACTCTCTGGCCACTAAGCACACTCTTTATTTTAGCTTTTTCAACTAAAAATAAATCATAAACCATCCTAGCAACTTTCTTTCGATCAGGGATTCTAAATCGTGGTTGCAGTTCATAAAGTAAACTCACAAAACCCTTTCCTTCAACACACCGAAAAGACATTTCATCTATAATCACAAACTCAATGATCTTTAACTCACACCTTTTTTGATTAAAAGTATGAGAAGTCAAAGCACTAACCTGCCCCATAGTCTCATTAGTTAATATTGATTGACTTTTATCACTCTGATTCCCATCATACATTGGACTGGACTTGCACCTCTTGGTCAAATGATTTTTTAACCCGCTTGTACTTCCACCAACTGTAGGAATCTCAGCTTGACAATGCTTACATATTCCTATTTGCTGAATGCGTCCATCTTTTAAGGTCCTTGTCCCTTTAATACACTCCGACCAGAATATACTCCTAGCCTGACCAATAGGTGGCTTTGGTGTTGAATCAACTCGTGTTCTTTTTTGTCTTGTAGAATCTTCATGGGATTCACATTCAGTCGTATTTGGTGATTCCGATGGACATTGCAAGGAATGTGACGATTCAGATCCCATTCCTAATTCAAACCATTACACAAGCAGATTTAGTGAACAAAAATAGAGACAACAATGTTTTGAATTCAAATGTAAAATGTTATGTTGCTGGCCAACTTATGATATCTTAGGCTTTTTATCACACAATTGATATACTATGCCAATTAAACCTGTCAATTCCATTAAGTATAATAAGAATTATACATTGCATCCCTTTTTACATGGTGCCAAGTGCTAACCAGTAAGGTTAGAAAAATTCAAAAATATAAATCACAGACTCACGGTGGACTGAAATATCTAAAATACTAAAATATTATTTTGGCTTCTATAGTTTTAACTTTCAGTAGCCGTAATTTTGTATGAAAATATATGAAGGCACAAGAACAGAGCACTTTGAATGGATAATCCATCTCTTGGAACTATCTAATTGCATCGATGCAAAGAGCCAAAGTTAAAAGAATATTTAAATTCAGCACCTCATGACATCTAGACGTACTTCTTAATTGATTTTCATCAGAAAATCTAACCTTCAACAATAGCTTAATGACAAACTCACACACTTTTTTACAAAGAATAATATGAAATAAAATATAAGTGTTGCATTCGTTATAAGAGAGTAACATTCCATTTCACTTGAGGTTTGAGAGCCAACAAAGAATACAATATATTACCTTCAAAAGCAGACAGATTCCTTCAAAGTGGAAGAAGCCAGAAACAGACCGTTGTGCTCTCGCGTTATCCCTCTTCAATCTTCGCTCAACATCGCAAGCTGGAGATGACCGGTTTCGATCTGAATGTTAGAGCTTAGCCGCTTAGGGAGTTAGGGTTATCCGTTAATGCCTTAATGGAATGTTACGTAGAGTAGTAGTCTAGTAGACACATAGTAGAAGCTTAGTGGGATTTGGGTTTGGAAAAGTGGGCTTTAATTTTTGTATTTTGATATTTATTTCCAACTTGAGTATTAATATTGGGCTTGAAAATTTTAGTGAACTTCTACAATATTTTAAAAAATATAAAATAATTGTTAAGTATGGAGACGGTACGGTAATATACCGGTATACCGCGGTATTTGGAAACATTTACCGTTACCGTACCGAAATAAATCGGTACGGTATGATACCGTACCGAAAATGACGGTATACCAATATTCCGATATTTTTCGGTATTTTTCGGTACGGTTAGTGCGGTATACCGATTTTCCGGTATTTTTGCCCACTCCTAGTAAAAATGGGTACATTTAGGGTACTTTAGCATTTGTTCACTTCAAAACAACCTGTTGGTTATCGTGGGTATATATATATACATATATCACTTCGAATCTTATACATCTGGCATCTAGGGTTTTCTCCGCTGTACTGCGTCTCTTTCTCTTCATCGATCTTCTCGAGCAGCGAAGGAGAAATCAAGATGGGGCACGCTAACATTTGGAACTCTCACCCCAAGAACTACGGCCCTGGGTCACGCCCATGGTATCGTCCCCACCACCCTTTACATCTAATTGCTCTATCTGTTTTATGTTCAGTTTCCGATTTTTAGAAGGAACTATTAGCAATTTGGTTCTCCTTTTTTCGAAGTGTTTTTGATATATTGAAATTTGTTGCGTTGTATACCAAATCGTTAAAGAATCGGTTTATGTGAAATTTGTTGCGCCGTAGCGATTACGATACACCAAGCCCGGGTCTTTGTATCTGTGATTGGTTTTTTTATATTACATAATGCTTCATTAGCTGGCTGAAACTATTTGTAATTGATTTTTGTCATTCTAATTTCATCTGTATGTGTCGTTTCATGCTCTGCCTATTTAAACTTCCTTAACCCATGAGTTCTGTACTTTAAACCCTTACAGTATAATGAAATTTTATGTTTGCGTTCAAAATTTACTATAAGTATGAATGATTCATCTACATGTGTTTCTTTACTAGCGTTTTTTCTACTAGAACTGCAATGCTCTGCTTGATAGCTCCATGTCTCTGCTAGTTTAGTTCTGTTCTCTGCACATAGAAAACTGATCATGAGACCAATAATTAAACAAAGTATATGATTATACTAATCATTTAAGTATATCAACCTTAGTATCCAGTATCCCGTTAGTCAGAAAATTATACTGGGACTAAAACAACAAAAAGAACTGGGAACAGGAACTTGATCATCAAATCAAAGAAATGAAGGAAAACGATTAGAGGTTAATTTCAATACAAGATATATGAAGAGGCATGGTCACTTGGCCGCTAATAAGTTGTTACCACTAAACACTTCAAGAGACATGGTGTCAAGAAGGTTGGACGCGTGAACTAGAATTGGCATATTGGGTGAGCTAGCATAGTGTGTGTTTTTGGTATTTTGGAGGGAAAAACTAAAGTAGTAAAAAGTCCAAGCTTCAATCCCCAGTAGCTTTAGATGAAATCATCCAAACTAACTTGGAAAAATGAGATTATTTAAACAACAAAGGCTTATGCCTAGCATTGTCTAGGTGCCCTGCGCCTCTATGTGACTTAATGGTCTGGGGACGTCTGCATAGCATATGCTACTTCTAGGGGTCCATAGGCCTTGTATGTGTTTCTGAAATGCATCTGCGACTTAATGCCTCAGATGTCACAGTGCAAGCCTTGATGGTCTCCTATATTCTCATGTTCTTTTTATTAAATCTGTTGCTAGTGTCCAATCAACTGATTAGTTTTCTTTGGTATATGCAGCCGTGTTTGTGGTAATAGTCATGGACTTATCAGAAAGTATGGTCTCAATTGCTGCAGACAGTGCTTCAGCCAGAATGCCACTAAGATTGGATTCATCAAGGTAATCCAGGAATTCACTTCTTTGTTAATTCCTTTATGGGCTGCAAATTAGAACTTCAAAGTTCCCACTGACTTTTTTGTAGTTCTTTGTAGACCCACTTTCTCTTCATTTGTCATATTAGTCATCTATTTTAATGGTTTTTGCAGTACCGTTAAAAATGTCAGCATGGTGTGGATCTGAACAGGAGGATTTTGATCATTAAACTTTCAGAATGATAATTATGATTACGTGGTTATGCTCTTCAAAACGTTTTTTATTTTGATATGTTTTCTTGTTTAAGATTGTTGAACTTAATGATGTCCTCTCTATCTTAAGTAAAATGTAGTTGCAATTTACTGGCTACCATACTTATCTAGACTTGGTTTCACTCTTGGCATTTTTTTATTTGGATTGAATTTCTCTTAAACTAGTCAAGCATGTTCTACAACTTGATGTGCCTATTAAACTAGTCAGCAGACTCTATTGAAGTCGATAGACTTGGACATCTGGTATCATAATGGGCCAATTAAACTTAGCACTCAAGTATCCTAGATCCTAACAGCAGTATCCATATTTAAGCAGATTTATGTAAGCCAACTTATGTTAAATAGATCAATTTAAAATTCCGCATTAAAATTCTTTTCAAGTAGCTTAACTTGATTGTAGTGCATTGTATATTTGTATGTGGACACATGTCGACTGGTGATGGTCATATTTATGATAATGTGTTTTATGAACATCACGTATTCACGTTTGATAATTAATGCTAATTAATGTTCACGTTCACAATCTAAAGTTTGAGTAGCGCAAGGATTTAAAAAAGTAAAAGTTGTGTTCTTCAAGTTTTGGCTGAGGAGAAAACTAATTGGAATTACAAATTCCGTACTTTAAAACGGAGATTATTAATACGTAGGAATCCTTACCTCCCGCGGAGGTCCCCATTTTCCTTTTCTGAATGTCCCGGTATAAGGTTCCCATTTTCATTTTAGGAAACAATTAACAATATTAAGTGACAAATTAATCATTAAATATTAAAAATAATATATTTATAACATTACATTATCAATACTAATTAAATTATATTTTATACCTATTAAAATTATTTCTCAAAATATACTCGAAGTATTTTATTTAATTGTTGTCTAAATAATTGTGTCGTTTTACTATGAGAACCTTCTAATGGGACGGAGGGAGTACTATATACGTAGGATTTAAGTTGAAATACTGAATGTGGTATGCATGACTGCGTATCATTTAGCAATTAACACATAAAAATAATATCAAACTTATAAATATTTGATTAACAAACCAATAAAATTTAACAACCAATTTAACAACCAATAACATGAAATGAAAACATTTACTGAAAAGTTTTTTACATATATTGACTAGTTGCATTGACAAGTAAAATTAATGAAAACACATGGATGCATGATTCAATAACTTCAATTTATGTTTTCATTTAAAATGGAAGGTTAAGTGATTTGTTTATTTGGAGTTACTGAAGTTCATAATCGTGTATGGTTGGTTTTAAACTCAATCCAATAGACGATAAATCAATAGATTGGTAATTAATCTAGATAATCAAAGACTTTTGGATCTTACAGAAAAAAATGTTTGAAATGTAAAGTAAGAATGAATTCCATCTACGGGAGACGAAAAATATTTCTGCAACGTCCTTTTTTGTGTTAAAAATGTAATCCCGAAATACCACAAAGGTCATGAAATTGAAATAAAATCATTCGGGAGATAAGGATCGAACAATCTTTTTATCATCTTGATGCTTTCCATCTATGATACTATTTATGGTAAAATAAAGGAGAAATCGATCTTGTCATCTATGACATTACACATTCTTTCGTCCTACATGTAAGATTTCATAGTTTAAAACCCCTTCTCAAACCATCTATTTTTCATTATGTCAAGGATGGTAAATCTTGTTTTGGATTCATATGGAGTTTGAGAAAGGAACCTTGTTAATTCATAAAGGGACTCATCTAAGGCATCCTGTATAGATTTTCTTATTCATAACTAGGGGTGGACTCGGGTCGGGCCAACCGGCCCGGAACCAGACCGGCCCGCTACTGTGCGGGCCCGGACCGGCCCGGTGAACCGGTTGGTGCCCGGTTTAGGCCACCCGGTTCTGGCCACCCGGCTCGGTGAGGTAGACGAGTTGGGCCCGGGCCTCCTAAATCGTGAACCGGCCCGACCGGTTCGGGCCCGGTCCGGGCCAAATTATTATTATTTTTTTTTGAATTTTTTTTAAGTTTTTGGGTTGGGCTGGGTATGACGGGCCAAATTACGGGCTACCTTACCTATCTAGATTCTAGACTTGGTTTCACTCTTGGCATTTTTTTAAATTGGATTGAATTTATCTGAAACTAGTTAAGCATGTTCTACTACTTTATGAGGAGAGTCAGCAGACTCTATTGAAGTCGATAGACTTGGACTTCCGGTATCTTAATGGGCTAAGTAAACTTAGCCCTCAAGTATCCTAGATCCTAACGACTCTTGATTCACTGCAAATAACAGCAGTATCCATACTTAAGCAGATTTACGTAGGCCAATTGGCCACACCTGGTCACATAAGCGTTTTGTCAATATTTAGTGGGTGAACGACATCTTATTCGACAATATTGCATAAGCGAGCTCGACCAGGAATGAGCAATGATTCTGACATTACCCACCCCTGCAAGAAAAATGCACTATGAGCAACTATCAAGAATCTAAAGTTGCATGTCAACTTGAAAGAATTAGTGTTCCCTACTTCCCTTAGGATATGATAGTGAGTATATCAGTGTTCATTTGCATGATTATTTGCACTACCAGGCATAGCAGTCATATATCACTTGTAGATTAGATGCATCTTGTATAATAAATCGAGTAATGCTACAGTTACATCATGGTTCCGCACCTGGACAACATTTTGAGGCCATTTGGTTCACGTAAAGTGACACTACCTAGATGGTGTAATGCGGATACCATGGCAACATAACATTACAGTCATGTTTGAAACTTCAAGTAAATTGGGGAATGGG